TTAAAAAGGGTTTGGCGATATCCTCTATTGATCATTGATATAACGATTGGGAGTCATAAGGAGATTATTATGCCGACGGGCGGCCGACGGGCACAAAGTGACGACTCTTATTGAGCCAACGGATAAACAACAGCACTATGGATTATCGACTCGAAAAACGCCTTAATAGCCATGTAATTATGTACATTGTTCAGTAAGTACTTATTGAGTTGTATTGCATGTGTACGAGAATTTGTCCTTATGGCCATTATGGATTATTGATTTATTGCTATTGATGGATTTCTATTGGAATTTACGAAGTTTTATTGTTACTGTACGATTCATTGATATTCGCATGCGTTCGCTGAGCATTTGATACTGAAATACTGATATGGATAGTCGATATGCATTGACTTATTGATAACTATGGACTGATACTATTGGAATTCATTGATACTCGCTTCGTTGATACCCATTTATGAACTGCTGCATGTGATCCATTGACGATATGGAATAGGTTTTATTGTATTGATTATGATTCAACGTTCTTCCGCGATGTATTGGTTGATTGTTTATATGATAATTCAAACGATTGACTATTATGCCCAGAGTGATTGATATTCTATGTGATACAATGTTGATTTAACTGATATTGATCCGGAAAATAAACGACGATTTTTCTCTATCGATTTGACTGATCGATTTAACTGAGATTCTTCCGAATATATATTTTTTTTCTACTGTTTATGGATTCTTCCGAGATTTAACGTATGTACTGATTTATTGAGCTTTATGGATTTCTTCCTACTGTTTATCGATTCTTTTACCGATGATTTTGGATTGTATCGATCATGCATTGATTACTGATTTTCATATCTATTGCATAGATTCACTGATCATGTGCAACTGACTGTTATGAATTTGATTGATTGACATGCATATTGTTTCAGTATCGTGCTTTGATTTCAGTTGTAGGTATTAGGTGACCTGCTAGGCTTTTTGAAGCTCATTATATGTGATTAACATTTTCAGATCAGAGCAAGAGAGCAGAAGATTGAGGTTGATCAAGACTGTCGACGAATCCTTTCACTATGGATGCCTGGGGCATCACAGGCAAAAAGAGAGCCAGAAGTCATACCTGAGGTGGTCCAGGACCTTCTACAGTAGCACTCCACCGTGTTTCAGATGCCCAAGGGGCTACCACCTATCAGATCCAGGGAGCATGCGATTGTGTTGAAGACCGGGGTAGCACCTATCATCGTGCGACCCTACAGATACCCTCATGCTCAGAAGGAGGAGATTGAGAGGTTGGTGGCAGAGATGTTGGAGGCTCAGGTGATCCAGCCCAGTGTGAGCCCATTTTCGAGTCCTGTACTCTTAGTGAAGAAAAAAGACGGTAGTTGGAGATTCTGTGTAGACTACCGGGCCCTCAACAAGGAGACTGGGTTGGACAAGTTTCCTATTCCTGTGGTAAATGAGCTTTTGGATGAACTTGGGGGAGCCACCATCTTCTCCAAGGTGGACTTGAAGTCTGGTTATCACCAGATTAGGATGAGGACTGAAGACATTCAGAAGACAGCCTTCCGGACACACGAAGGCCATTATGAGTTTTAGTGATGCCGTTCGGGCTCACTAACGCTCCCTCCACCTTCCAAGCCCTGATGAATCAGGTCTTATAGCCCTACTTGAGGAGGTTTGTCTTAGTTTTTTTTTTATGATATATTGGTGTATAGCAAATCTCTGCAGGACCATATCACCCATCTTGGGGTGGTACTCATGACCTTATTGGAGCATCAGCTATATGCCAACAAGAAGAAGTGTTCTTTCGCTCAGAAGGAGGTGGAGTATCTGGGACACATCATTTCAGAGAGTGGGGTGGCAGCTGACCCCACCAAGATAGAGGCCATGGTGAAGTGGCCTACACCAAAATTCCTCAAAAGCCTAAGGGGATTTTTGGGACTGACGGGCTACTACAAGAGGTTCATCAAGGGCTACGGTTCCATAGCAGGTCCTTTGACTAATCAGTTAAAAAAGGACAATTTTCAGTGGGGAGAAAAGGCAGAGGAGGCCATGAAGACCCTGAAGGAAGCCATGACTAGTGCCCCGATTTTGGCACCTCCAGATTTCACCCAGCAGTTTGTGGTTGAGACTGACGCTTCAGGAGTGGGTTTAGGAGCGGTACTCATGCAGAATCATAGGTTGATTGCTTTCTTCAGCAGGATCTTATCGCCTAGAGAAAAGTTGAAATCAGTTTATGAGCAGGAACTGATGGCCATTGTGTTGGCTATTCAAAAATGGCGGCCTTATCTATTGGGGCAACGATTCATAGTTCGTACCGATCAGCGGAGTCTCAAGTACTTACTAGAGCAGAGATTGGTGGCAGAAGAACATCAGAGGTGGCTAGCCAAACTCTTGGGATATGAGTTTGAGATTCAGTATAAGCCAGGGATTCAAAACAAGGCGGCAGATGCTCTTTCCCGTATGGAGTGCTCACAGCTGATGGCACTATCTGTACCACAATTGGTAGATTGGGGTAAAATGGTGAAGGAAAATCAACATGTAGAAGAGCTAGAGAGGATTCGAGCGGCTATCTAGAAGGGAGGAGGGTTCAAAGGGTATCACCTGGAGAACTCTCTTTTGTTGTACAAGGGGAGGTTGGTACTACACCGTGACTCCGCATTTGTCCCCATTCTGCTACGGGAGTACCACGATAGCTGTATTGGTGGACATTCAGGGGTGGAGAAGACCTATCGGCGGGTGAAGGCCGAATTCTTTTGGAAAGGGTTAAGAGGTGATGTCGAAGACATGGTAAGCAAATGTGATATTTATCAACGTAACAAGTATCAAGCTTTTGCCCCAAGTGGTCTGCTGCAGCCCATGGTGCTTCCAAACAAGATTTGGGAGGAAGTTACTATGGATTTTATTGAAGGATTACCCAAGTCTGATGGGTATACGGTCATCATGGTGGTAGTTGATCGGTTGAGCAAGTATAGCCATTTCATTCCACTACGGCACCCTTTTTCAGCTCCTACTGTAGCATCTACTTTCATCAGAGAGGTGGTTCGATTGCATGGGGTCCCCACTTCTATTGTCTCGGATAGGGACAA